GAGTTGTTCAATGGAATGGAGTTCTTTTCCAGCTGGCTCAGAACTACTACACCGACTTTTCCCACGCTTCCTTCCTACTGAAGCCTTTGTGATGAGTGCTGGTTGCTCCAGGATGTGCAAGGTATGTAGGGGCCAATCAGGGACGGTTGTGAGCCCCTTGATGTACCAAGGACTTTTTGATTAGGAAAAACAAAACCAACGTTAGACATCTTGAGTTCCAATTAGGAAATTCTTGCTCCTGGAGAAGTAAAAGCTAACTCCAAACTCTTTCCCGTACCCTACCAGGACCTTAGTATTTTCTGGTTTGCAACTCTTGTATTAAAAAGCTTTCCCTTTCAAATGTTTGCTTTTGAGTTGTAACCTCTAACAATTAGTTTTCTGCCAGTGTCATTGATTTCAGTTAACTAGAAAAAGCACGTTTGAAGTAAAAAGCACAATGTAGTTTGAATGTAGAAATTGATTAGTTCTAACAGGATATTTTTCTTATTCAATTGATGGTAGACTCTCATTGGCACATCTTGGAACCAAAAATGTCTCACAGTGATGGCTCCCTGCACCCTTCTGGCACTTAAAATGCTGGCACAAAAAGCCCTGTCTTGCCAAGTTCTGACCTCTGAGAAAGACATTGGACACTCTAAGACATTACTAAGAAAAATACCAATCTATGTCCCTGCTTGCTTGGATATTATGAACTTCTGAGGCCACTACCACCCTCTCTGGGACTGCCAGTTTGCATGGAAACACATCTATGGCATCACATCCCACCATTCTGAATGTCTTTTCCAAGGACATCAGGACTGGAGAGAAATACAGTTGAGAATACTTAATTATCAAATTCTCTTTTAAGTTTAATTAGCATACATCAAACATATCTTGGGCCCCCCAGTTGTAAAACACCTGTTTTCATTCCCAAGATTTCTCTTTTCCTTTAAAAATAGTGACATGATTCCCTCTGGGTCCTCCAGAAGTGAGTCAGCCAGCTCGTGTTATCAATGTCATTCGCTATCTCTTCCTTTTCTCCTTCCCATCATTTGGACAGTTGACCGTTGACCCTGATGAAATCCATCATCCACTTCTAGTCTTAGGAAAAGTTCCCGGAAACATTGTGGAAGGGAGAAAGTTCAAAGGTAAAGCATTGGTGCAAATGAAGCTTTGGATTACCTGTGGGTTTTGATAAGCTCTTCCACTCCTCACCCCCTGAAAAGCACAGGTAAGTCGGTCGAATGACTCAGAAACACGTCCACGTTCCAGGACGCATTTCCAGGAGCAGCGGGCTACAGTTTCTGTCTCTGCTGGTGCGCTGTCCCCGAGCCCCACAGGGGTGCAGCCTTCCCCGCAGTTACTGTCCCTTCCGGTGGGGGGTGGGGCGTGAGGCAGTGGTCACAGACACCTGGCAGTTACACAAGTGCACACAGAACATGGCAGCGAGAGAGCAAGAGCTAAAAAGATTCTGGTTTGGACCCAAATCACTAGTCATTTCACTTCATGGAGAAAAGCAAGTGCCTTGGAAGCTGACATTATTTACAATGCTCAGAGTTTCCAGATGCCCACCCAAAGCCGAGGGCCACCACGCAGCAGGGACAGTTCAATGAACTATGTACAGAATTTACAAGGAAGTTTACATAATAGTCAACATTCCATTACCAAGTGTACCTTGTTGTTTACTTGTCTGCGTTCAGAAAACGGAGATAGTTTTGTTTGTCCTCCGCATCCCAGTAACTGCTGATTGAACCACCATGAACAAATGCTGGCACATGCCTTTTGCTTCCCTCTGGGATAAACGATTACACTTTGATTAGAAAAAAAAATGTGGCATATCACCCTTTGGTCAGATACTATTCAAAATTGTCCGTATAAGAAATCTTGAAGATAGTTTCCTTCTAGCATTATAAATATACCTTATTTTTTTTTTGTTGAACTTGGCAAATTTTAATTGCGCTCTTTTTTGAAATGAATATTTATAAAGTAGTCATTGATTTTAGAAAGTTGGAATTTAGTCAACATTTCTGTGTGTTGTACATACTGTTTGTCTAAGGAAAGTCTACTCTGGATCCCTAAACCAAACTTTGTTCTCCGCACCACATTTTTCTCTTGGCACTTTCAAAATCCTTCACTGATTGTAATGCACAATAAGATGGTTTGTATGAAAACACGTATCATTGAATCAGCAGAATGACCATCCAGTCTGCTGTTTCTATTTGGCAATGTAGAGAATGGAGGCAACAGTCTTGGGTAATTCAAGCCAAACACATCTTTACCTGGGTCTTTGCTTCATGAAGCTGGTAAGGGTAACCCACGTCACCCCTGACATGTTAAGCCAAACAACATGAGTGGAAGGGATGAATGTGTCGTCATCACTGTCCAGTGAAAGATGGGATGCATGCTGGGTTTCACAGGTTACGTTTATGACACAACATATGTCACAGTTTATGGATTGTGAACATGGGGTCCCCTGGACATGACGGTAGCATAAGAGAGTCCATACAATTTTCAGCCTCGCTGCCACTTCAGTAATGAAGGAGATTATGGCTATTTTCATGGCAAAAAGAAAATAACCAAATAATAGTTGAACAGTAGTAACCCCTGTTTTAGGCATGGGTCTGAATCTTTCAGCAACAGGATCCGTGTGAGGGCACTTAAGAATGTCTAACAACTCTCCTGTTTTATGTACACCATTTTGGGCAAAACAAGGGAGAGAGGCAGAGAAGGACGGGTGTGTTTCCATGCATTTTTCAGCCTGGAGGAAGAGTGGGTGGGGTCCAAGGAGGGGAGGGTTCAGCTGGGAGGCGTCCAGAAGAAAGAAGTGGGAAGAGAGGTCATTAAACAGAAATATGGCAGCTTCTCAATTTTTTTTTTTTGGCTGCCAGGGCCTCTAAAATCAGAGCTATTTAACAGGACTTGCATGATGGTGGCTGGGACCTCTTACCATCCGGAGGGCCAGACAGTGACACCATTTCATGCCTGATAGAATATTCAGGCTTACGAATTTTACAAAGGTTAATATATAAGAATTCAAAATGTTCTTTTTTTTTCCTGTTAGAGATACATTTTCATCTACAAGCATAAAATTCTTTAGACTTTTAAGGCAAGATAAAAAAATAATAAAAATATAAATTACCTCAATCTTTTCCAAGAAGAATGATCTAAACGGATAAAGAAAAATTGTTTTGTTAAGGAACATGGATTATGGGTACTTCCTTTCTGATTTAGCATTTCACCTCTAAAAACTTTTAAAGAGCTTTGACATCAGAATGATTTATTCCTGTTAGGCATTAGCCAGAAGTCTCCCTTTCTGTGTTTAAAATAGATGGCTACACAGTGGTTCCTGGGCGGTCGTTGGAAATATTAACCTTACAGTCATTTGGGGGATTTTTACAATGGCAGAGCATCTCACCTGCCAAGGAACTAATTAGTTTCAAAATATTTATCCCCAGAAGCTAAAGATTTCCTTGACCAGGGGATTGCGAGTATACAATTAAAACCCGAATGAAAATTTGGTCCCCGTAACCCTATTAATTTCTTATGAAACCATTGAGACGATTTTCCCAGTTAAAGCAGAGTTTTTACATTTTTACTACCGTATGTTGACTACAGCCATAACCATTCATTTATTCTGGGATTCTCTTTTCCTCTTGCTTTCTAGAAGAATATCTTACAACTCTCTCTCCTTGGGCTCATCGATAGGAATTCAGCCTTATCTTTCAACGCAGACTATAATTTCTAGCAGCTGATGCTATTGTAAACATGGACCCTCATCACAGCCTTAGGGAGAAAGCCAGGTCTTTAAGTGAGGCAACCATCCTATTATTTCCTCAACCCTTATCTTACACCCAAGGAGTAGGTCCCAATCGCCTCCATAATTGATTGGTAAACTCAGGGTCTCACACAACCATGCAAATAAAGATACAGAATTCTTTGATGCTCAGCTGAAGAAAATAAAAAAGCAATGGGTCTTTAATGACATAAATGGTATGAGTCTCATCTGCAGCTGGTTAGAGCGATTTAGAATCATGTGCTGGGGTACTCAGAGACGCCCCTCCTATGATGACCATGACCAAAGCAACCTATGAACAGAGATAAGGCAGAGCAGTGATGACAGCGATTAATGAGTGTAGCTAGGGTCTGGTGTAAATGTTTGAAGGCCCAGTGAGTTTGTCATTGTTGTTATCTGTGGTTTTGCCCTTTTGAAGGTTTCCTTTAAAATAGAAATCTGGCCTCAGAGAAGCCTGACACCAAAATGGGTGCAATGTGCATTTCCTGAAGCAGTCGTTTCCTATTTTGGAATGCAGAGCTCAGAGAGCAGAGCCATAAGGGGCCAGTTGACGCTGGTGCAACTAGCCTATCACCATTAGAAACTGCTCTCTGGAAGGCTTAAGAAATATATACTATTTGATTTAAGATTTGGCAGTTCAGGTAACTGCCCAGGCACCCTTTTCACAGCAGATAAGTCTTGCCTTCTTCATGGAAAGAGCAATATTTTTCTCAAGCAAAAATTGCTCACGATCCCCATCTTTGAAGCCCTCTTCTCCCACCCCCCTTCCTCTCACTCTCTCTGGAGCAGGAACCAGGGAAATGTGATGGCATGGCTTCATGTCAGCGTCAAGTGATTCCAGGCTAATGAATGAGTTCAGGGCTGTTCATTTGAAATAGTTAAAAAAAAAAAAAGTCATTAACCCCCAAAATCCTCATTCTCAAGAAGAAAGGAAAAATGTTCTCAATGGTTACCAGGGTGGAGTCTAATGTTAATTTTAAATCAGCCTGGAAGTCTGAGAAAGAATATTTTTCAGAATGTCCGGCTCAATGGGGAGGTGAAACTGGCAAGATTGGGTTTGCATGACCTCCACCAGTGCCTGCCAATCCTCCCTCCTCTTCCTCGAGCAGAGCTGAGAGAATTAGGGGTGGGAGGAGTCTTTCTCTTCTTTGTTTCCTTCCTGGAAATCTGTAACTGGTCAATGGCTTTGTGTGTTTTTTCTTCTGAGATCCTGGAAATTGTGTTGTTGTTTTTGGCAGTATGAGACTGTTACAGTTTACCAGGAAGCAGCTTGCACAGAGAACTAGGCCCTCTTTTCATTCTTATTTTAAAAATGAAGCAATAAAATCCAGGGCAACTAGGAAGGACTGCTCAAGAGCTGCCTACCTAACGTCTCTCTTCGTGGGTGTTTGTAAACATGGCAATTACAGAGCTCGAAAGAGCTGATAACCTGGACCACAGTAGACTGGAAAAAAATAGTGTTGTTGTTTTCCTTTTTTGAAGTAAACATGGTGCAGTAATAAAATTGATATGCAAGACCTAAAACCAATTAGATGGCTGAATCTCTTACCTCAAAAACACAGCAGTCTCGCTGCTGGGGACCTGTGGGGTTAAAACTCAAAGGAGGAAAGCAGTCGTTTCCGAACCCTTAGGACAGACCTTAGTGTACATAGTAAAGCCAATACACGACGTTGAACAGAGAAAAGGTGATGGGGAAAAACATTCGGGACCACTTGTCTATGGAGTTCACATCAGTCAAGTCGGGGATCTTGACTTTGAGCTGCGAGGCGCGCCTGCGGATGCGCCCCTTGCCGTGCGCGTGGCGGTCCAGCGGGTGCCCGTAGGCCTCGCGGGTGGCCCGGGGCTTGCGGTAGTGGATGCTGGCGCTGTCGTAAGAGTACATGGTGGTGTTGGGGTCGCTCATGCCCGTGAGCACTTCCGAGCCGCTCGTCTCGTTCCTGATCTCCAGGGTGCTGAGGATAATGTTGCCGTGGGTGTCGACCTGACGGAGAAAGAACATGCTCAGGCACAACTGCCGGGATATTCGCTTGTTTTCAATAACCTGTAACTGATGACAACGCATGGGGTTCATCTAACACGGTCAAGCAGTCATCTTGCTCTGCGTGCCTTCTGGATCTGGGGCTGAACTGTCTATCTATCTATTATCTATCTATCTATCTATCTATCTATCTATCTATCTATCTATCTATCTATTATCTATCTATCTATCTATCTATCTATCTATCTATCTATCTATCATCTATCTATCATCATCTACCTATCCTCTGCCTATCTACCATTTTCTTCATCCATCCATCCATCCATCCATCCATCCATCCATCCATTGATCTCCACCCACAAAACACGTGTATGTGTGTATATATGCATAAACTATATATTTATACCTGTATTTATATTTATATACTATTTTTGTCAATAACTACCACTTATTAAATCCATAGAGGTACATACAGGGTGTCCCAAAAAATGTATACACACTTAAACAGCTGATAGCTAAATTTTGAAAATAAGATGTATTTTAATAAACACTACCTTTATAATTGTTCAAAGTATATGTATACATTTTTGGGGAACAGCCGTATATACATATATTGTTTATCTATATGTATGTATATACACATATGGTATTTTGTTGTTGTTGTTGTTGTTGTTACAAAGGTGGCACATAGAAACTTTTAAAACTAGAAACAGGAAACAAAAAATAAAAGGTAAATATCCATTATATCACCTCGGAGTCCATTATTTTTAACATCTTGCTAGCCTCCCACTCTTTTTTTCTGTTCATATATATTTACACACACAGATTCTCTGGGTGTATTTTGCTTTGCAACCCACTTTTGTCAGTTAGCAATATAACCTGGTAATCTTTCCATGTTAATAAGTATTCCTGTGATATCATTTATTAATAGCTGATATGGACAAACTATAATTGAATTAATATATTGTTAGATGTCAAGGCTTGTTTTACTTTCGTAGTATCATGTAAACAAGCCTTCAAGGAACATATTCAAGCTAAATCTTTGTGCAAGTCCTTAATTATTTCCTCTGGCTAAAGCCATGAAACCTAACCTTGAGACCTTCTGACTACAGGCGAACCTTGGAGGGGCTCACACATAAAGGAAAGCCTGGGATTTCACTGCATAGACATGGATTAAGGGACCCTCTCCTTCCTTCCTGCAGTGCCTTGCTTATCAACCACAACTGTTGTTTTTAAATTCTGAGGACACATGTCCTGGGAAGATAGTAGTGAACAAAACAGGCAAGTCCTTGAACTGTGGGTGCTTACATTCTTAGGGAGAAAAACGTTATCACATGGGAAACAGTATGGAGGTTCCTCAGAAATGTAAAAATAGAGCTACCATATGACCCAGCAATTTCACTTCTGGGTATTTAGTTGAAGAAAATGAAAACAGTAACTCAAAAAGATATCCGTATCCCATGTTCATTTCAACAGTATCTATAATAATAAAAGTGTAATATGCTAATTAGACTGGACATCCTTCCGGGGCTGCTGCTGCCTCGGCCCTCGGAGCTCCTTGCATGAATTTTGTGCATCAAGTCTCTAGTTTACTATAACAACCTGTGTCCATGGATGAATGGATAAATAAATAAATTATCCTATATAGATGAATGGATAAATAAATAAATTATCCTATATAATAAAAGCCTAATATGATAAGTGTCTGACTGTTCAACCAGTGACATGCACTGACCACCAGGGTGCAGACGCTATGACCAGTAAGTTAGCTTGCTGCTGGGGTCTGGCTGATCAGGACTGGGCAAGATTGGCTGGACACACCCTGGAGCCCTCCCGCAGTCCCTCCCCGGCTGGCCAATCTTCCGCGGTCCCTCCCTGGCCTCTAAAATATTTCTTTCAATTAATTTTCTCTCAATGTGCACAAATCTGTACACCAGGCCTCTAGTATATATATAATTCAGTCATAAAAAAGAATGAGCTCTTTCCATTTTCTACAGCATGAATGGGCCTTGAGGGTATGATGTTAAGTGAAATAAGTCATACAGATACCAAATACCAAATGATTGCACAAAAAACAAAAAGCCAAGATCTCAGAACAACCCAAGCTCACATAAAGAGAAGCAATTGGCAATTGCCAGAGGTGGGGGGATGGGAGGTGGATGAAATGGGTCAAAAGATAGACTTCCAGTTATAAATAAACTAGAGGCCTGGTGCATGAAATTTGTGCACTCGGCGGGGGGGGGGGGGGGGCGGAGGGGGTGTCCCTCAGCTCAGCCTGTGCCCTCTTGCAGCTTGGAGTCCTCGGAAGATGCCTAACTGACAGCTTAGGTCCACTCCCCACCCGCTCCCCGCAGGGAGCAGGCCTAAGCCAGCAGTCTGAAATCCTTAGTGCTGCCACGGAGGTGGGATAGGCTCCTGCCACTGCCACTGCACTCACCAGCCATGAGCCCAGCTTGTGGCTCAGCATTGCTCCCTGTGGGAACTCAATGACCCACCAGGATGCAGCTCCTGCCTTGAGTGTCTGCCCCCTGGTGGTCAGTGTGTGTCATAGCAATCAGTTGTTCTGCAGTTCAGTCAATTTGCATATTAGCCTTTTATTATATAGGACTAGGGGTCCCTCAGCCCGATCTGCACCCTCTCCAATATGGGACCCCTTGGGGGATGTCCAACTGCCGGTTTAGTCCCTATCACTGTGGGATTGGGCCTAAGCCAGCAGTTGGACATCCCTCTCACAATCTGGGACCACTGGCTCCTAACTGCTTGCCTGCCTGCCGGCCTGATCACCCTAACTGCTCTCCCCTGCCAGCCTGATCGCCCCTAACTGCCTCTGCCTTGGCCCTGCCACCGTGGCTTTGTCTGGAAGGACATCTGGAAGCACATTATCCTTTTATTAGTATAGATTAGTATAGATAAGTCATGGGGATGAAATGTACAGCATGGCAGCTATGGTTAATAATACTGTATTGCATATTTGAAAGTTGCTATGAGAGATCACAAAAATTCTTATCACAAGAAAAAAAAATTCTGTAAATATGTCTGGTGATGGATGTTAACTACATTTGTGATGATTTCATGATATATACAAATATCAAATCATTATTTTATATACTTGAAACTCATATAATGTATGATGATTATACTTCAATAAAAATACAATAAAATAGAAATTATGTGAAACCTTAACATCTTAAATAGAACTGGTCAGAGGAAAAAAAAAAGCAAAACTGAAGTTGTGCAACGAGAAGAAAGTCTACCTCACAACTGTAACATAGAATCCCGCCCCAGCCTCCAGCCTGCCTTATAGATTTTGGACTTGCCGTTTTCCACAACCACATGAGCCAATTCCTTAAAATAAATCTCTTTTTGTGTGTAAGTTTGTTCTGTTTCTGTTGGTTCCCTTTCTCTGGAGAACCCTGAGTGATAGAAAGGCTAGCGTAAAATTCATAAGGGTGATTTAAATTTTTTTTAATTGATTGATTAAGATATTACATATGTGTCCTTAACCCCCCCCATTACCCCCCCCCACCCCCCAATAATGCCCCCACCCCCCTGGTGTCTGTGTCCATTGGTTAGGCTTATATGCATGCATACAAGTCCTTTGGTTGATCTCTCCCCCTTACCCCCACCCTCATCATAAGGGTGATTTTTAAATGTCTAAAATCCACAAAACATTGATCTGATGGCTGTGTTTTATCCCTCAGTGGAAACCCTATGCAAACATGCAATTCATTTTCTATCTTGGGTCTATCCTTTCTCCCACCCTCTCACTCTCTGTCTCCCTCATCCTCTCCTCTCTGCCCCAGCAATATCCCCTCAACAGTGCCTTAGGCTGTGAAAAATGTTGCCACTCACTGAATATAATTGTTCCGGATATTTCAAATATATAAACATAGCAGAACTCATTTCAGTGTAATTGGAATAAAATATAATCTTGTTTTCAGTGGCAGTTTTAAAGCCCTGTTGAGAAATACCTCCAGGCTCAATCTACTTTGCAAACAGAAAATCATTTCCTTCTTGCTAACTGATTCAATTAGATTCATAGTCACTAAGTGTGTCTGAAGCACAGAGCAGGAAGCCGAGTGAAGTGACGCTGGCCACAGACTGAGCTGCCCTCCAGAAGCCTGCAGTCTATGCAGTGCAGCTGTCCAGCGGAATGGCCGCTCCCCCTGCAGAGAACAGAGAGCCACACAGCCCAGCTTCCATCTGCCCATCCCACTCCTATAATGCACCATGTTTACGCTGTTGCTGTTACTCATTTGTTCTTACCAGGGCTGCCCACCCTCAATCCCTTGGTATCAAATTCCTAAAAAATTTTTTGGGGTGGGTATAAAGGGAATCAGAGGCTTTGCAGGAGACGATTTACATGTCTCTTTACTTGTCTTGACAACTACAGGCAGAATTGGAAACTTTAATATTCCTAGAAGCAATAAAAGGTTAAGCATAAACTTACATAAATCTAAACACCGCATACATTACTCAAGAAATAGACAAGAGCCCTGACCGGTTTGGCTCAGTGGATAGAGCGTCGGCCTGCAGACTGAGGGGTCCCGGGTTCGATTCTGGTAAAGGGCATATACCTTGGTTGCAGGCACATCCCCAGTAGGGGGTGTGCAGGAGGCAGCTGATCAATGTTTCTCTCTCATCGATGTTTCTAACTCTCTATCCCTCTCCCTTCCTCTCTGTAAAAAATCAATAAAATATATTTTAAAGAAATAGAGAAGATAAAAGATGAAGATAAAATGAAACAAATGCCCATTTTCCAGAACATTGCTCAGGTAGACACATTTACCCTGGATCTCTTTATTTCCCTCACTTCTCTCATTCAGTGGATTAGCAGATCCTATGGCTCTGTTTTGGAGAAGTAGATTCTGACCACTTCTCGCCACCGTCAACTCTTGATGCCTAATTGATCTCCCTCTTTCCAGGAATGAGCCCTCTGGTCTTTTCTCTGCATATCAGCTGGAGTTATACTTTTAAAATGTAATAGAGATCATGTCTCCTCT